GAAATAAAACTTTTTTGTGGAGTTTCCCTCCTGGATTATAACCATTGCGGCTATTGGATTTGATAATCATAAACTCACTCTAAAATGACATACTGTATATACAATGATTTAAACCTAATCTGTCAGCGAATAGTTGAATTGCTACTATACATAGGAGATATCACACAATGGTTGTTCAGCTCTTCGATAATGTCGAATTTTCTGTATAAGAGATTATCGATTATTCTTCAATCTGATCAGAGATATCAGATAATGTATCAACCACAGCATATCATACAATCATCAGAATTACTTACATAACACTTTGCAGATACATTACTGCGCAGCCAGATGCGGTTAGTCTGAAACCTAAAAACTTGTCCGTAACCGAGGCTGCGTCTATTGGCATTGGATTTTTGACAGCTTACATTGCTTTAGTGAATTCAGCCAATGTGCAGGAAGGAGAGAATGTTCTTGTTCTCGGTGAGCATTTTTGACTAATACCACTGCAGTGTACATATTATATTTTACATGTTACGAATCTTGATTACTATGGTTACCGTATTATATATTATCATCGTTCCGGTAGGCTCAAGAGGTTCAGTAGGTCAAGCGGCCATGCAAGTGACTCGTTTCATGAAGGCTCGTCCAATTGGTTTGGTATCTAAGAACCCGCCTCAAGACCAGACGGATGTTGTTGATACATCTGTAGATGATGTCAAGCAGAAGGTGCTTGCACTGACCAATGGAAATGGTGCCGATGTTATTATTGATACCGTTGGGAATCAGGAATTATTCGAAAAGGTTTGAGCGATTGGAAGACAATTACCGTGAATGCATAAAGAATTTTATTATATACAGTTAAAGGTTAATATATGTTATTGTTGAGATAGGCAATTGGTGCTCTGCGCGTCCGTGGGCGATATGTTACGATGTCTGTTCAAGGGAATTTGACTAGAACAATTAATGCATTAGACTTTTATCGGTGAGCCTTATGTTCCGAACAAATAACTAAATATTAATAATGTCAATTAGTTATACCAGATACTGACTACATTTGTTTTACAGTCGTGAACTGCGTCTTATCGGATTGAATACTCTCAATTACAGTAAACGAGAAGCTGCTACTATTCTAGATATTTTGCGGTATGTAAAAATATTGTAATACACATATTACATATTACGTTTGGATTGGGTTATTTTTGCTGTTTTCCTCGGAGAGAAATCTATGGTCTATATTAAAATTTTCTTATACCTTGACAGACCAGGATTTGAAAGGTAAAAATCTCATTACCCAATATTCAATTATTTTTTTTCCCTACTAACAAGGTTCTCAAACTTTCAGTGGTATATTAATGGCTCCGAGTATAGGCATGGAATATCCGCTTGAATCATGTGTTGATGCTTACAATGCTGTCAAACGAGGGTCATCCAAACTTGTTCTTGTACCCTGAATAACGTGATGGGTGAATAAATAAGAAATATCAACGTTCTGATATACCGTAGGAATATAGTACCCCCCTAAATAGTCCTCCCCTCAGTTAGGACCCGGGTACAATTCAGGAATTTTTGGTGAAGTTTTTGAAATGTATGGTCCGGTGCAAAAAGATAGATACCTCAGATTATTGCGAATAAAATTTTTAAGAAAATTTTTTTCTAAAATCTGATTTTACCAATGGTTTCTTTAGGTTATCGGAAACATTTTGACATAAGTTTTATTAAAAATTTACTCACTGGATTCCATGTTATCTTCGCCGTCAGTTTCCTCATTAGATAAATGTACATGATCATCGTTTCCTCTATATTCTTTTGCGTTAGAAAGCGTAAAACCATTCTCAGCAAGGGATTGCCGCAGAATTGGTGTTGAAATAGGCGTTCCAGCTTTGTTTGTATTTAGTAATTTTTTCACGTAAAAGTGTAATAATATCAGGGCTCGGCTGCAATCGTCCTATATTTTTTGCTCTGCAAATGAGCCATTTTTACACTCATTTTATTTATGAATAACCCACCCAACTGTACTTTCTGAAACCCCCAGGACCTCAGCAAACCGCTTGCGTAGTGAACTTTTGACGTTTTTTAGGTGAGGAATTCTCCTCTGAAAAGCATTTAAATTTATTATTTTTTCGTAATTCCCGAGCTTGGGAATAAGCCATGGCGTGCATGTATGGATGGTGTGCATATATGGAGGGGTTCACCATACCCGGGTACAAATAGTTTATCGTACGTCACATGGTACACAAATATGTAAACAAAAACTACTCATCGATGTACTCATACAATATAACAAACTCGATAAAAGCATAACAAAGTCGACTGTCTGGCAACAGCTAAGATTTAATAATCAACCAAATTCTAGCAGCGATTAAAAGAGAAATCCAACTACAACGCAAACCAACTATGTGGGGACCAATTATCCCAAAGATTTGCATAATTCAATTCATTCTCATCATAGTGATTGGTTATTAACAAGCGGAACATTTTCCTGGAAATTCTCTTAAAGTTTAATCTTCAACTTCTCGGTTTGATTAGGTGACGTATCTACATGCTAATACATTCTCTTGATACAAAACGATTGCAAGTTTTTCTAAAAATTCCAACTTCGGTACTTTTCTCAGTTATAGTAGCTCTTTTCACACACTTGTTTCCATCGCGTTAGCTGATGAGCGTATTATGGTAAAATTGACCAATCACATCACTCTGTGAAGGAATTTCAAAGTACCCCTCTCAAAACGGGTACAATTCAAGAACTTGAGGTGTTCTAGATATGTACCTGGAGTACTATAATCTGTTATGGTAGATTTTTCGTATTAATAAGGAATCGCTAAACTTCATTGGGCTTTAGACTTGATAATGACCGGAATCAAAGACTTTGTAAACACTCGATTGAGATTTTAAAAACACGGCTGACATCAGAGTAGGCGTATTATTATACTGTGTTAAATAATTGAATTCTACCACGTCAAAAGCAAGCTATACAATCGACCCAACCAGTTATCACAGGCAGCAGCATTTATCAAAGAAATCCTACATTAGCATAAATACGACAGGACAGTGACATCGGTGTTAATTTCCCCCGGTATCGTACCACTGAAGTCTAATAATACCTTTCCTATGCATGGTTTTTAATATATCGGAGACATTTTCAGACTGTTGCTCAGTATATGTTTTTAGAACGTAACTCTTGATTGGACATTAACATTAATAAAATGACGACGAGCTCAATTATTACCTTGGTTTTATGAGCGTAAATTTACATTTGATAATCCTTTCGTTCATTCCCATTGCATCAATAATTCTTGTATCTTAATCGTAACTATATATAAGTTCTTCCGATAATCCAATGGAATGAACGAATCTTTGTAAAGGCGGTTTCAAAATGGGCATTTCATCCATTACAATACAAGACCGTTTTATGTCTTCCAATGTTCAATTTAGATATTGGGTCTATTAGTTACTTTTTATTCTATCGTTCATTGATGAGAGACCGCGTGATACGGTTTGCATGTTATACGAAAGAGTGACGTTATAATCGAGAAGCAGTATGTCACTACACTCGGAAACCCTCGACAAATACCATCAAGATGTACTAGTCTGTCATAATATTTATGAAATTCGCCATGACATATTTTCTTCCATTTAATAACCCGCTTGGCTGCTCTGTGTGCCCAATGAAATTCATACTATGTTGGACGAAGGTTCTTTATCGTATCTCAATACGCATTTACCAAGATAATGTTTTTACCAAGCAATATAAACTCAACGCCTTTAAGTCTAAAGTCTGCGGTGATGAAAGTTACAATAACCAGTAATAGTAATGGAAACATCGATTTTGCATATATTTTATTCCAAAATTGTAGATTGGTAGTCTTTCCAATTTGGCAAACTGATGCGTTCTAAAGCTGAGATACTCTCCTTATATCGCACACTCGTCCGTGCCGGAGATGCATCGGTGCTGCATTCTAGACCGGCTGTGTATGACGTAAGAAGGCGTCTCCGTCAGGCATTTGAAGAATATCGTTATGTAGATGACGAGAAAGAACAAGAAGATTTGTTTGAACGTGGTGAGCTACGAATGAGCGCTAAATTTTAAGAACGGTTAAAATATTATAGATTGTCTTTTAAGGATCGCTACAATGACGAGTACATTTTCTTGTTCTAAATTTTTTGACTTAGTCCTGGTTCCAACAAACTGAAACCAGCATATTACCTGTCAATTATCGAATACTTAAACAATAATGTATTCTACGTAGGAAAAAACACGGAAAAGCTTTTCAAAATTGCAGCTCGACGCGGTGGACCTGAGCACAAAAGTATAGTTAATCTTTGCGAAATGGCTTTTTTGGACAAATTATACGCAAGACGGTAGACAACATTTGCTCGGTTTATTCAATAGATTTTAACGTAAGCACGCGTATATTTTATATCTAACTCGTAAACTTGTTTTCCCCAGCCCCCCATATGGGAATAGAAGAATGAAGCAGTACGAAAATCAACTACACAAAGAGAGTATGAATATGTACAAGCGGACACTCAAAATGGCGAACGATGAATTACGACTCGGCTTACGATAGCTAGTCGTAAGCAGAAAGTGAACAATTTTGATGTCTCGGAAATTTCGTGACCGAGTAACATAAAGGAATAGTGTCGGACCATATTTTTTTTAATACATTTAAATAGAAGGATATACATAATAGATACAATACTACAATATTCCTAATGTTCACTTTCAACCTTTTCTCATTATTGGTCATCATCAACGTCTTGCCTAAACGAAAGCTGTTCGGCTCGCCCTATATGTCCTAGTACATCTGTGATACGACTGAATACCAACAAACAGAATTATTAAGTAACGATCGTTGACGGCATCTTATCATGTAATGCTAAAAAACTAACCTGAAGAAATTATCTTCCCCCACTTTGTTAATCAGCCCCGCATTCGTAAACATTTTTTTCTGATTAGGGCGAAGTTTAACAAAGAAAACTTTGACCCCTCTTGCATGATATGAATCTACGATTTCAAGAAGAATTTGGGCGGCACTACAAAAAAAAAAAAAATATATATATATATATATATATAATCACATAACTATTATTAATACAATGCTCAAGCATTTCGTAATATAGACCATGTTACCTCGCATCAAGATCCTCCATGGTCTCGATATCAAATATTACGTATTCTATGGGTGACATTAGGGCATCTTCTGAAGGATGAACGCTCATATCACCGAATTGCTCTAGTCTTCTTAGTCTATCTTTTAACTGCCCTGTGTTTGCAAAATACAGAGGCTCAGCAATACGGATGACAAGCACACCTTCCACATGTTCGGCTTCATCGGGGAAGTCTCTTATTGGTTTGAATTTGTTGTCTTGTACCCGGCCCTAATAATGCAGAGATCGTTAACTTTTCACCATCTTCATAGATCGTTCCGAGAGCAATTGGTTTCTCGAGCTTTACCAAAAGAAATATCCTCGGGTAAGTCGAATGCTTGACCACAAGCAGTAACGACAAAGCGACCGAAATCAGCGTCCCATACTCGATCGACACGAATATTGTCACAAAGAATGTCAGCAATAGCAATGACATATCACTCCATGCTCTGATTTTGTAGATGAATTTCATATCATGCGGAGTTTCTTCGAGCAAAGCCAACGCAGCAATTGTCACAATTGATGCCAATATTGCTTTTGGCAAATAATAGAACGCTGGCAAAAAGAAAAACAGGCAGAGCAGCACAAACATGGCCGTAATCAGTCCTGCAAGTTGTGTCCTAGCACCTGCTTGATCGTTTATCCCACTCCTGGCCATTCCACCATACGCAGGAATACATCCGAAGAAACTCCCGATAAAATTCGCAGATCCCAAAGCGACCAGCTCTCGATTGGGGCTGACCGCGTAATTGTGTTTTGTGGCATATGTTTTTGTGACGACAATTGATTCCACGAATCCAATGATGGATATTAACACTGCTGCTTCGAAACATTCTTTGACAGTATTTGCGTTTGGGTACGAAGGAATGGAGAATTTGGGAAATCCACTTCCCTGTACAGTTCCAAGAATCTTTACGCCTTCTTGATCCCATCGAAGAGCTCCACAGAGCACAGTAAATATTATCACATCGATAAGGAATTCTGGGATGAATTGCACAAAGGGTTTTTTTTGAAATTGTGTCTTGATGAATCGTATAACCAAAAGGAAAGCCAAGCTGCCAAACGATACGGCTGTTGTGACAACATGAATCTGATCTAAATTCTTTAGAATAAATATTGCTTTGGTGACTGTCGAAGAAGCATGAGATAATCCAACATGGACTGATAGTTCAGTTAAGCCGAGCATCGGAATCATTTGTTCTATAATAATCACGATTGCTACAGCTGTAATGAATCCACGTAGAAGAGCCCGCGATAGTACAGAATCAATGAAGCCAAGACGAATCAGTCCAAGAATAAGCGTGAGAAGGCCAGTAAAGAAGGTTACGAGTGATGCAATCACCACAGCATTTTCGACAGTGCCATCTCCAGCTTGAGCCACGGCTGAACCTGTCAGCATAGAAACTAGAGCTTCAGGGCCAATTGATAACTGTCTGTGTGTTAATGCAAGAGTATGATATGAGCGTATTTCAAAAACCATGTAAAAGACAATATATGAAATCGTTTTTTGACTGCATATACGTGTAAAAATAAAACGGATCAAAACCCGTAAACGCACCTCGAAGTTCCCAAGAACGAGTAGATGACACCAGGAATTACAATAGTATATAAGCCATGTACAGGAGGTACTTTCGCCAAAATAGAATAAGACAGCCCAGATGGAAGCAATATCGCAGATACAGTCAATCCGGCGAAAAAGTCGTTCCAGAAAGTGTCGAGAGAATATGATGGCAACCAATGAAATACTGGAACATAATAACGTAAACGTGTCCTAAATTTAACCCAGGGATCGTGCCTATTGTAATTAGATGACGTAGATGGAGCTGTGTATGATGTAATATAAAAACATAATCGAGATGAAGAGATGAAGTTAAAATGCTAATCAAAGCATGACCGATTAGTGGATTGTAGATGGATCTAAGTATAAAAAGTAGTGTTTACCCGGCAAATCTTCGGCAATCTCTACGTTTCGCTGTTCATTAATTGTCAACGGAGTAGCTTCACCTGCGCTGTCATACTCGTCGTCGCTGCTAGGATATTCTCGTCCTAGCAAATAGATATACTGTTATACAGTAAATAACGGGAGAGAAAAGCAATACAAAGCGAGCTCTCTTACTCAATTCATAAGGCGTTACTGGCCGCTCCAGTGAAGAACCGTGGTTTTGTGACATGTTCGTTATTGTAGCAAAGTTGGAATTTTCAAGATAATTTGGGGGTGTTATTGAACAAGATGACACTGATAATCAGCCTCACCTTCCTCGTGATTTTCCTGTTGCTCCTATTCAAAAGATTTGTTTTATGAAACTGTTTCCTTATTAATATCTTTCACCTTATTATTATCATTATTACCTTGTTGAATTTTCCCTAATATTAATGGTATTGTGTTGGCTGTATTGTTTTGTTGTTATCAATTATCGTTATTATTGGCTACTTTGGGTTGTGAACCATACCCTTTCGGAGAAATAAGGGTAGATCATTCGAGTTGACGATCAATTCTGTTGTGGTAAACTTGGTTCTTTGATAATGAAATTGCGACACTTGTTTAGTGCGATTATGACATTTTAACCATTCAAAATTAAAGTTTGACTATTTCATGAGGTTTTATATGATTATTCTGTGCAATTAAACATATTATTTCTGCTGCCGAAGGAAGTAGGGAAACCACTTGTATAGACATTTTACAAAAATTCCGTCGGTAGCGAGAAGAGAACCAAAAAAAAGAAATTAATATTAACGATGAGGCGTGGTAATTAATGAAAATCGGGTACTTTTTAATTTGGGTAATCAAAGCAGACATAATATTAACCTTTTTCTAATCAAACGTTAAAAATTGACACGTGAATATATCGGAACGAGAATTCTGGACATGCGAGCCACCACGGATGCACGCTGTAATTATAATACTGCAAGATGAAGTTCAAGAATGGTGTCACCCACGGTTTTCGTTCACTGCTCACCACCGATCATGGTACAGACGCCTGGTGGCATACTCTTACATATCATCTTGGATGAAGTTAACCTGCGGACAGCTTACATTCCATGTGCCAATTTAATTAGACGCGTAGCTAGTTTACATTTACAATCATGGACTTTAATAGGTTTACATTCTATTCTTTTGTTTCATGAATTGAAAGTCGCAACTGGGCGTCCTTTTAAATATCAAACAAAATTCGGGTTTTTTTGCTTATTATTATCTATTATTAATCATTGAGAATTCAATTATCAAAATCAATTGTACAATTAACAACTAACACGAAAAAGGATGCGTGACCTATATTAAAAGACTTTGAACATCTATTACTGATTAAAAAGTCTCTAATACAGACGCACATTCTAATGATTTGGAAACCATACTATGATAACTTTCGCTTCTTGTGTTTCGACGATTTATCTCTTTTCGACGATTTTTCCCTTTTCGAGGTTTCGAGTCCTTTATTGATCACACTTTTTTCCCTTTTCGATGATTTATCCTTTTTTGATGATTTGTCTTTCATAGACGAGCGGCTTCTTTTGGGAGATGACTGTATTAATCATTCGGAAGAAGTGAACAAAGAATCGATTAGCAATAATTACTTAGGAACATATAAAGCTAAGCTTCCGGAAACAACAAGTGTATTATTTTATTACCTTCGCTTCCGCCTGCAGCATCATCAATTTCATATTCGCTTGTTCCATCTTCTTGATGGACAATAACGGATCATCCCTTAGCTTTGACATCATGTCCAACGGTGTATTTGCATTTGTATCGACATTATCAAATACGTCCACCTTGTTGTTTCTCAGTTTATCTACCGACGTTCCTCCGTCTATATCTTTCGTATCAACCTTCTTCTTCCCCAGCAAGTATTCTTCTAAATCTTCTGATACATCTGCTTTCTGCCCACCTGGAGCAGCTGCGTACATCCAATCTAATCTCTCGGGGCCCCGTCGACCTCCTTTTGCTTCTTGGAGTTTTTTTAGTTCTTGTATTTGTCGCTCTTCTTCAAGTTCTTTTTTAAGTTGATCTAATTTCTTCTGCTCCTCAAGAGCTTTCTGTTCTTGTTTCCACACCCGTTCCTGATTTTTCAGTAGCAACGGGTGCCATGATTTTTTCATATTCTATGTGCGGAGGATCGAGCAGGGCATTAGTAAGCAATACAAGAGTACTTTACTGCGTTGCTACTCTTCTCATCTCTAAAAGCAACAATATACTTACAAGATCTCCGCCTCCCATGTTGTCTTATTTTACAAAAAGAAGTGATATAAAATTGGTGAAGAGGAATAAGTTTGTCTCGTTAACAAATTATATGTGGCAACTTAAAAGTTTATATCATAAAAGTTTGTATCACGTGAGGATATGCGGCTCGTGATTTTGATATGCAGAGTATTTTAAAATTCACCATATGCAATCCTATCAAAAAAGGGTAGTCTCTAAGTTTACCAATTCAATTTGGTAAAAAATAAACGAGAATAACAACGATGCGTTTTGTTCATTTTGCATCAAAAAACCGTTTGATCGCGAATCAACTGTTGCAGCATTGAAACAATTTAGCAAAGGACAAATTTCATCTAAAAATGCCTATCGATAAAATGGATGTACTACGAATATTTCTAATAGTATAGCAGTCCGGTATTGTAATGAGTTTTTTTTTTTTCTTACGCTCATTTCTATGGTGGCTATTTAGATTGTTGCTATTCGGACGCCATACATTATGCAATTGATATTGTTTCATACATCATTGTCAACGAGCCATTGTCTTGGATAGTTTATTGAAGACATCAATCGCTATAGCGACGAACGTAATTATGGTAAGGACGACACTAACCTCTTATTTTCATAGCAGCAGAAATATATTGACAAAACCACTGATATAATTAATGTTAGTGGAAAATCCAGTCACAACAAACTCTATACAGTACATACCCCTTTCTTCTTTTCTATCAAGATCGCTTCTAGAAATGTAACTTTCAACTCATGAGTAGGCATTGTGTTATACCCTTTCCGTTGTCTTCTATCCAAGTTATTAAGTGTCTTTTGTAGTTCTGCCGACAGTGGAGGGGTTGGCGTCTGATTGGTTCTAAAGCAAGATGCCAGAAGTTAACAGATTTTACTTGATAAGAACAAACGACAACTGTTGTGAGTCAAAATACCATCTCTGTTCTTTTCATGTACAATATTGTTCTTTTCACGCGCAATATTAGTTAGTTTGCCAGTGGTTTCTGAAATAAGTGCTGATCGTTAAGACAATTCGATAAGATATACGCGCTATAACATCGAATATTACTTATTGTGTCTGTATAGAGAATAGAGTGCAAAAATCCGGAAGAAAAGTATGTCTTTGAGTTGGTAGTATGTCTTTGACTTGAATATCGTATGTGTACAACATCAGCCACGATAAAATAATTACCGTATACTTCCGAAAATAAGCACCCCCCAAAAATTAATATACTATCCTCCGAGAATAGTAAAAAAATGTGCTTATTATTATATGGGAACCGTACGGTCTATTCGCGTCCAAATAAGGGTGGTCTGGTTCATTCCCCAACAATTATCTCCGTCAATGACTTGTCATACGCATCATAACTAATTGATGTGATTATTTGATACAATTACCGTATAGTTCCGAAAATAAGCACAGTCCTTCTATATTAACGTTTACACATCTACACAGACCTGTGATTTGTATTATACGAAGTTGTGACCTCCAAAAATAAGCAAAGTGCTTAGTATTAGACAAGGTCGTAATCGAAGTGATTAATGAATGTACACTAAAAATGTAACATTCTGCGTCACTAACACAAACGCGAAATTTGATATGTTAGTAAAAGTAACAGTAGAGATGAAATTTTGATAAGGAATATAATGTAAAGAGTTGGTTTATAGATAATTCATCGGCTAAGAGTTTACTATAGTTATATCATATGTCTTCTCCATTAATCCTTGGTATTCTGGCAATTTTGGTGCATAGTCATAATCGAAAGGACTTACTAGATAGTAATGTGTATGCTTGTTATTCGTACCTTAAAGAGGTTACTAATAACAATGGCGTTTCGCTCAAATTGTTTTTTAATACAGTTTTTTTTAGCACTACGAGAAGCATCTGTATTATCAAAAACTCTGGAAACTGATTCTTGGAGAGATTTTACAGATTCAGTGAGTTTAGAACAGCCTTCAACATTATCAATATTTTAACAGGTGTGCAAGTCTTTAACAAATTCAAGATGGGTTTGATGCTTTCAGCTCAAGCAACAGTTGTGAGCTATAATCTTCGCATGTAATGGCCTAAGTGCCGTCTCATTATTAATATCGGCATCTCATAATTACCGGAAAGCTCTAAACCAGCACATATGATTATAATTTCACACTTTCAAGATGAATTCTTCAGTCAACGCTATTTCATAACAATTCACAATATGATGCCGGTAATAGAAATGACATTTGCACATTTCCGTATATTGGGATGTCACGAAGCTTGTCAGATAGTACACCGTGCTCAAGGTAAATTGCAATGCAGATACATGTTTTAACTGATTTACGATTTACCAGTGGATCGAGAAGACTTACTTTGCTTTATCAGTTATATCGATGATAGCGTGGAATATTCCTATCTAAAAGAGGCTCATTGTGATAAAACACTTACTCCTGATGGTAGTACGCGCAAGCTTGCCATTACCTTGTTCGCATACAATTGTAGGCAAGGGACGCTAATAAATGGAGGAAACATCGATTTAATATTAGATGTTCCACAAACCCTTCTTTATTATGAATATTAACAAAACTCATGTCAATGTACCCGTTGTGTGTTAATATGACAATACCGGCTCTACTTCGCATTTGACACGTCATGTGATTGTTACGGATTTGCCTGGAAACTTATTGCGATGTCTTTATTAATTAGATCTTATCTCTCGAAAATTCCAGATTACGGATGCGGCGCAGCTCTATGATCTCAAAGGTAAGGCTTTTCCATGGCTGCAAAAGAATACAAAGTGGTTGTGACAAACACCGTGTTGGTAAGTTGAAATTATGTGCCTTTCTCAAGCAATGACTGTTAAGCTTATTTTTCTATAATTCGTGGCAGTTAATGGATATAATAATACTACATTATGGCGATCCGATTGATAATACTAATACAGTACGGCAATCATGTGATTAATAAAATTTTCCCAATTTCAAAGATCGGATGGCTTATCATTAGCTACCCTCGTTAGATCACCAATTGACTATCCAATCTACCGTACCCATAACTTTTAAAGACATGAACCGTCTTGCAGCATCTACTCTCCGCCTCCGTTCAGCAGGCTTCTCTATATTTTATAAAGCACAGCCATCAATATTGTCAAACCCTATCATTATGACAGGGTTGCGACATTATGCTTCAGGGGCATTGGATAAAGCTACTATTGAATATAGGATTTTAGAAATTCTAAGAGGGTTTGATAAAGTTCCCACTCAAAAGGTAGGAAGGAAAAATATGCTAAATTAGCGGAGAAGGAGAAGGGACTTGAGGACTTTCTATCTGATAGCTGAAAGGAGTATAGTAATTATGAGGTCATATTGGTAATCACAAACTCTAACGTATCATGCATTGCTTCGACTCTTTCCTTCCATTCCCCCCCCCCCCCCCCCCCCCCCCCCCCCCCCCCCCCCCCCCACCACCCCCCCACCCCCCCCCCCCCCCCCCCCCCCCACCCCCTCCTCTTTCCAAACCAAAGAAAAAAAAAAAAAAAAAAAAGTTCCTACGCGT